TATCTAATGCAGCCAATGAGAGTTTTGGTATCCTACTTGCAACTTGCAATACAGCTTCTGTCTTAGGTATTTATCCTTGTCTTTCTCTATTCAGAGACTATGAAATCTCATGAATGCACCTGTAGTTTAGATACTGTTTGACTACACTACAGGATTTGCATATTTTAATCAGCACAGCAATCTAGATACACTCAGATCTGTGTTAAACATTAAAAAGATTGATTGAAAGTCTGATTACCTTTGTTTTTATGTGATGATAATGTAGAAAAATAAATAATAGAATCATTAAGGCTGGGAAAAGCCAGTAAGATCATCTATTCCAACCATCACCTCATCAACACCATGACTACTGAAGCATGTCACTCAGTGCCACATCTACCCTTTTCCTGAAAACCTCCAGGGATGCTGGTGACTCAACCACCTCCCTTGACAGCCTGATCTAACAGCTAATCACACTTTCAGAAAAGAAATTTTTCCTAATATGTAACCTGAACCACCCCTGGAGCAACTTGAAGCTATTACCTCTAGCTCTATTGGTAGTTACCTGGGAAAAGAGGCCAGCCTCAACCTCACTAACAACCGCTTTTCAAGTAATTGTAGAGAGCAACAAAGTCTCTCCTGAGCTCTCTTTTCTCTGGACTAAACACCCCAGTTCTCTCAGCTGCTCCTCATAAGATCTGTGCTCCAGACTCTTCACCTGCTTCACTGCCCTTCTCTGGACACACTTCAGGGCCTCAGTGTCCTTCTTGCAGTGAGGGGCCCAAAACTGAACACAGTCCTGGACGCGAAGCCTCACCAGTGCCTAATACAGAGGTACAATCACCTCCCTAATCCTGCTGACTACACTGTATCTGATACAAGCCAGGATTCCATTGGTCTTTTTGGCCACCTGAGCATGCTGCACGTTCAGCAAGCTGTCAACTAACAACCCCAGAACTTTTTCCTCTATCCAGTTTGCCAGCCACTCTGTCCAAAGCCTCCAGTGATACATGGAGTTATTTGACCAAAGTGCAGCACCCACCACTTGATCCTGTTAAAGCTCACAGAGTTGGCCTCAGCCCATCAATCCAGCCTATCCAGATCCTTCCCAAGGATCCTTCCAATCTGGCTACTCTCAAGGCAGATCAACACTTCTCTCGGCTTGGTGTTCTCTCCAGACTTACTGAGGGTTTGTTCAATCCCCTAATCAAGATCATCATTAAAGATATTTACCTTTCCTGATTCCTGAGGAACATCGCTAGCGACTGGTCACCATCTGGATTTAACTCCATTCACCACCGCTCTCTGTCCCTGTCCATCCAGACAGTTGTTTACCAAGTGAAAAGTACACCTGTCCAAGCCATGGACTGCCATCTTCCATAGAGAATACTTTGGGACACAGTCAAAGGCTTTACTACAGTCTAGGTAGATTACATTCACAGCCTTCCTGCCATCCACAACACGTGTCACCTGGTAATAAAAAGGAGATCAGGTTGGTCAAGCAGAACCTACCTTTCATGAACTCATGCTGGCGAGGCCTGATCCTCTGGTTGTTCTGTATATGTCACATGATCGTACTCAAGGCTATCTACTGCATAACCTTTCCCAGTACTGAGGTCAGGCTGACAGGCTTATAATTCCCCAGATCCTCCTTCCAACCCTTCTTGTAGATGAGCATCACATTAGCAAGTCACTAGTTATCTGGGACCTCCCTGGCTTGCCAAGACTGTTAATAAATTATAGAAAGTGGCTTAGCAATCACTTCCATCAATTCCCTCAGGACTCTCAAGTGGATCTCATCTGGCTCCATGGCCCCATGAAAGCCCAAGTGGAACAGCAGGTCGCTAAATGTTTCCTCTTGAATTGAGGGGGGGGAGGGGTTATTCTGCTCCCTATTCCTGTCTGAATACGCTGAATATAGCTAGTCTGACTATTATGGAAGGCATTGAGAACCTCAGCCTTTTTTTCATTCTCGCTGGTAATGTTCCCCACTGCATCCAATCAAGGATGGAGATTCTTCTTGGCCCTTCTCTTGCTGGTAGTAATATATTTGTAAAAACATTTTTTTATTATCCTTAATAATGGTGACCAGATTAAGCTCTTCCTGGACTTTTGCCTTTCTCATTTTCCCTCTGCATACCCTAGTAACATCTCTGCACTCTTCCCAAGATGTCTGACCCTTCTTCCAAAGAAAGGAAACTCTCTCAGTTCCCTGTTCATCCTGTCTCGTCTTCTTTGCTGGCTTATCTTACGGAGCAGGGGGACAGCCTGTTCCCACGCCTTTAAGATTTCCTTCTTGAGGAATGTCCAGGCTTTCTGGACCCCTCTGTACTTCAGGACTGACTCCCAAGGGTACCAGTACTAATGTAGTAAGGGTACTAAAGGTACCCTTGTACCAAGGGTACCAACGTACTAAACAACTTAAAGTCTGACCTCCATGCTAATTTCACCAAGAATGGAGAACTCAAACAATGTTCCACCATTCTTTCTGTTTGTCAGACATTAGGTACTTTCTCTTACCAGCTGTGTCACCAAGTTCCTGCTCTTGTGTCAAGGAACATCCTAGACTGTTTCCTCTCTGCTGTATTCTATTTCCAGTGAATGTCAAGTAAGTTGATGTCCCCCATGAGAATAAGGACCAGCAATTGTTTGAATTCTGCCAACTGCTTACAGAACACTTCATCTGTCTCTTCATACTGGTTGTGTCTTCCCCTGATCCTTACCCATAATGACTTAGCATTATCATTCCCAGTTCTGAGCTTTAAGACATCAAGATGCTCCCTAATACAGAGAGCAAATTCACTGCTCCTCCTTCCCTGCCTATCCATTCTAAAGAGCTTATAGCTCTCCATTGCAACACCCACAGTCATGAGAATGATCCCACCACGTTTCGGTGGAGGTGACTAAGTCATAGTTTTACAGTCTCACAAACTCTTCTAGCTTGTCTTGTTTGTAACCCATGCTGCATGTGTTAGGGTAGACACACTTCAGCTGGGCTCACCCCTGGTCCTGGAACACTACCCCTAATCTCAAGTTCGACTGGTTTTATCCCATACCCTTCAAATAGAGCTTAAAGCACTCTCCACGAGCCCTTGCAATTCCTGAGCTAGAATGGTTTTCTCACTTTAACACAGACAGACCTCATTAGTTGCCAGCAGGCCTGGTGCTGAATAAACTACCCCATTCTTCTTATGGCATGAGACTTTTACACTTGTGTTGATCAGGGGGGTTTCCTGTTCCTCTCAGTATCCTTCTCTATTTCCTAATGGACTGAGGAAAACAGCACCTCAGTTCCCACTCCATGAGCTAGCCATCCCAATGCTGTGAAGTCTCTCTCTACCCATCAGAAACAGGACTACCGAGACTCAAAGTGTAGCCTATAATACATCACTAAAGAAGACTGTAAAGCCTGAGGTTCCCTCTTGGAAATGGAGAGCAGCAAGTACTGGGAGATGGGATGATGGTGCCATGTTAACATGAAACAACAGGCAATTCAATACTTTGGTGTCTCCCAGAGAGAAAGACTGAATCGTGTAATAAAAATCTCAGTAAGTCCATACCTAGCTATGTCTCCTAATAACCTGCAGAAGTTTGTTACAGCATAATCATAAACAGATGAAGAAACCAATTTCTCAACCCCATCCTAGCTATGAGCTATTAATATAACTCCCACTGCGTTCTCCTCAAATTGGGACAGGCAGACTGGTAAACTGTTTCCTTTAAGAGGAACATGTGGAAAACTTTGTTTAAAAGTACAAAAATATTTTTGTTTTGTACAGGGTGACATTTAGTTTCAGCATTCACAAATCTTAACTCCAGGAGTAACAAAGCCATGCCATTGGTGACAGCAGACAAATCTTTAAAATTACTCTCTTTTTAATGAGCACCTTGTAAAACTGATGAAATTTATGACATTAAACTAGAAAGAATTCTGATTATAAATAATTTGCTCTCTAAACGAATCACTCAAAACCACAAAAAAGGACAGCAACCTCACAGAGCCCACCACATTTTGATCCATGTAGCAGCATTTTACAGAATGATGTAAGTTTCAAAGACTTTCCCCATTACTGTAAGGCTGATCTGACCTTCAGATCACTCTGAAGGGCAGAATATCTGCTGAGAAATGGCTGGTCCCTCAGTATAACTTGCCACAACATTTACTGCACAGCAGGAGTGAGCAGAGGAATATTCTGTAACTTACTTGTCAAATGTACATATCAGTACAAATGAAAATATTTCATTTTTTTAAATTTAAGAGACAGTCCCTTAAACATTCAGCTCTTACAACCCAGTTTATGAGAATGAAATCATCACTAGTCAGACAGCTCTCCGTCCTTTTATCTGACCAGTCTCTCATACCCTGAAATTCATGCCATATTTATATCCCATTATTTCCTTTAGTGAACACAGCTGAATCACTCAGTGGAATCAGTGGGAGATTGGGCAGGAAAATGAAGATGATTTCAGTTTTTGTTTGGTTTTGGTCAAGAAATCTTTCTCTACAAATAGCTGTCCCACTTCTCTTCCCATTTTAAAATCAGAAAAAGACAAAGATATAGTCATTCAGAGTTGACAAACAAACAATATATGTAAAGCAGTTCAGGGGAAGTGAGGTAGCTTTAATAATCTGTATCACATTTTTGTGATACAACAGTTTGTCTGTTGTAACTTTATGACATGTAACTAGGACTTTAGGCACCCCCAGCATCTCCTCCATAGAGGGCAATGCATCAAGATGGCAATTTATCACAACTCCAAGAAAAGTTCAATTTAAAATATTACTCCCAATTTGAAAACGTGTCTCTGCCTGCAATATTTCAGTTTTAAATATTGTGATTTTTTTAAAACTTCATTCCCAGAATGAAGCAGGGGATCCAGCAGGGATGCAGGAATGGAGTGCCACACTCCAATGCCCACCGTAGGAAGCCCCTGGGTGGCAGTGAGGCTGGCGTGGATGCTCAGCAATGACAGCTGCATGGAGATGTGTGGCCAGAAGGAAAAGGGTGGCCCCGACTTACCAAGGTTCCACCTGAGACCAGTCGTGGTAACACTGTCACAGGAGCTCCCAATTGGGATGAGGCCGCACCAGGAACCTTCCAGTCCTGTGTCCACCTGCAGCTTGTGTTTGCCCTGCAACACAGAAGAGTCTGAGATCAGCTGCAAAGTGAGGGGAGACATGGGCTGGGGTTGCAAAAATCTCATTTCCAATTTTCATTCTTTTTTTTTTCCCCTGATCTGAAGATTAACATTGGTCAGAGCATTGCTGAAAATTCTGCATTTTTTTGATAGCATCTTCAAAATTCCACATACTTCCCCAAAAAAGTACTTTTCAGGAAGGAATACTTGTAGAAACTAACCTAGGTGAAGGAGAAATTAAGGTAAATATTTACATGAATATTCTTATACTAAGTAATAACAGTAAAGTGAAATTAAAACACATTTTTTTATACACAAAAGGTGAATTCAGCTTGTAACCACTAAGTTTAAGGCACGTATGAGAAACAGCTATTAACAACAGTGGGTATGTGACCAAGCTTTCAAGCAGCACTCACAGATCCCAGATGAGCAGCTTTCCAGATAATAGCATATGAACAATCCCAATGAGGAGTGGATAGAGAAAATCTCACACAGCAAAAGGAAAACTTCAGAATTCTGGCTCAGTTTTAATTATAAGAAACTTACTTGTTTATTGCAACTTGTTTATTATAATTAGCTACAAGAATACCACAAATGAGAAAGTGACTTCTGAGGTATTTGACAGATTTTCCTGTTAATACCAAATGCATTATGAAGAATCAAATTCAACATGTGTCATGTTCTCAGATAACAAATAAACCTCAGAAATGCTGCCCATTAGAGAGTATTGATTGCATGGCTTACAAGTATTTGGTTGTGCAGGGAAGGACGATGACAGATCCAATATCACAGAATCATAGAATGGTTTGGGTTAAAAAGGACCATAATGACCATCAAGTTTCAACCTCCCTGACATGGACAGGGTTACCAACCACTAGACCAGGCTGCACAGAGCCACATCCAGTCTGGCTGTAAGAGATCATTCTCTTACATCATTGTCTCAAAGCTTGCTGGGGCCACAGATGGACAAGTCCAAGCAAGTCCTGGGCAAGGGTTGAGAAACTGTTTGTCTAAGGGACACAGATGGACAAGGCCAGGAGCAATGAGAGAGAGACAAGCCAGGAAGCAGCCTTTTCTGTTGGCTTATCTCGAGGAAGATGGCCATCTCAGGGGTTACATCACATGCCTTACCCAAGCACCCAGGAATGCCATGCTGCCAGAAGAAGGATAAAAAGGGAACCTACAGCCATGAGGTGAGGTTTTCTGGCAACAGATTCCTCAAAAAAAGAAGAGGTTTCTGCCATGAGAAGCCTCATAACCTCCTTCTCTCCTTCCTGGACTTGCTCTGTGCTCTACCTGCATGCTGAAGAATGAAGAATGCCATCAGATTCCTCACTATGGAATTCCTGCACGCTGATGGACTCTCCTGGGTCTGCTGCCTGAGTCCTGCTGTTTCCTCCTGGATCTGCTCTGCGACTTCTTCCTGCTACCTGCTTTCTGCCCAAGGTTGGCCACGCTGCTGCTGCTCTCCCTCTGCTGCTTTTGTCTCGAACCTTCAAAATGACTTGCAACGGGATGCTGCTAGATCCTGGTGGTGACTATCCCCGCTTTACATAATTCTTGCTTCTTTCCTATCTTTTCTATTGTCCTCCTTCCCTTCCCCATCACTCTAATTTGTAATAGTCGCCATCCTGCCCCTCCCCGTCTCCCTGATTAGGATTATAATAAACTGGTCAGACCAACATTTCAACCGTTGTTTCTTAATCTCACGCTGGGTGTATACATATACTAAAGAACCTCCTCTTCCTCTTATAAATTGGAATGAGACACTTAAATGCTCCAAGGATGGGGCATCCACAACCTCCTTGGGCAACCTGTGCCAGTGCATCACCACTCTCTGAGTGAAAAACTTCCTCCTGATATCTAACCTAAACCTCTCATATCTCAATTTAAAACCATTCCCCCTTCTCCTATATCACTATTCACCCTCATAAACAGCCATTCCCACTCCTGTTTAGATGCTCACTTCAAGTACTCAAAGTACTTGAATGCTACTAGCTATGGCCATGCCACAGTTGATGCATTAAGCTGCCTTTCCCTAGCAGTTGAAATATGATTTCTCAAATTTTCCAAGAAATTCAGCCATACAAGATGGCAACTTGGGAATGTCCCTGTAACTCCTAAATGGTTTCCATTTTTCTACTACCTCCACGGCAGAATGCTACAGAGATACTAGAAACCCGGGTAACTCCTTTTCAAGAGAGATCTTCTGCATCCAAACCATTGTGGAACAGAATCATAGAATGCCTTGGGTTGGAAAGGACCTCAAGGATCACCAAGTTCCAACCCCCCTGCCACAGGCTGGGCCACCAACCTCCAGATTTGGTAGTAGACCAAGTAGCCAGGGCCCCATCCAGCCTCCAGGGACGGAGCATCCACAACCTCTCTGGGCAGCCTGTTCCAGCACCTGACCACGCTCTCTGTATAGAACTTCCCCCGACATCTAATCTAAACCTTCCCTCCTTGAGCTTAAAACCGTTCCCCTTGTCCTGTCACTGTCTACCCTTGTAACAAGTTGATTCCCTTCCTGTTTATAATCCCCGTTTAAATGCTGGAAGGCTGCAATGAAGTCTCCTCCCATCCTTCTCTTCCCTTGACTGAACAAGCCCAGCTCCCTCAGCCTGTCTTTGTGGATCTCCTCTGGACCCTCTCCAGCAGCTCCACATCTTTCCTGCATTGGAGGCCCCAAGCCTGGAGACAGATGGGGCCTCGCAAAGGCAAAGTAGAGGGGGACAATCACTTCCCTGTCCCTGCTGGCCACCCCTCTTCTGATGGAACTCAGGAATAGTCTTTACAAATGCTATTTCTGTCTTTAAGATGCTTTCCTTGGTACCCTGCCAACTACACCAGATGTTCTGCTCAGAAAGAAGCAAAATTGTTTCTGACAGGTAAAACATTCACGGGTAGGCCAATAATCACATGCAGAAGGAAGAGTTTAACTCACTCCGCTGGTGAAGGGGCTTTCTAGCTCCTTCTCAAAAAGCATCCTAGGTCCAAGAGATATGTTCCCTTCAGTGACTAGCCTTCATATGAGCCCAGAACGTCTCCACCCTGGGTCTACTTCTTCTGGTCACATCCGTTCACCAGGTGCTCAGTCAGCAATTGAAGCTGTGACCTAACAGTTCTACAGTGATGATGGGAAGGCAAATTTCCTTATAAAGCTTAGCAGCTTATCTTTAACTCAGGCCACGTTATAATTTATCTTTATGCCAGGTTCTTATCCTTTTTCATGGCTTTGCAGAAGTCCAGAGTGATGACATCTATTGCCCTTTCACTGTCCACCAGTGCTGTCACTCCATTGTAGAAGGCCTCCAGGTTGGTCAGGCAAGATCTGCCCTTGGTGAAGCCATGCCAGCTGTCCTGGATCACCTCTATCTCATATGTGCCTTAATAAGGTACCCAGCAGGTTCTGCTCCATGATCCATAACCTTCCCAGGTATAGTGATGAGGCTCACTGGCCTGTAGTTCCCTGGATCATCCTTTTTCCCTTTCTTGAAAATATAAGTAATGTTTCCCTTTTTCCAGTCACTGGGGATTTCACCTGACAGCCATGATTTGTCAAATATGATGAAGAGCAGCTCGGCAGCCTTATCAGCCATCTCTTAAAACCCTAGGATGGATATCACATGGCCCATGGACTTATATACATTCAGTTTCATGAGGAAGTCTAAGATTTGTTCCACTGTTACTATGAGTCAGAATCCACTCCTCTCACCCTCACCTAGAGGTTCAGGGTCCTGGCAGACATGCAGAGGAGCCTGACCACCAGTGAAGACTGAGGCAAAGCTATTATTGAATACCTCAGCTTTTTCCATGTCTGAGGAAGCCAGTTCTCCATCCTCATTTACCAGAGGGGGAGCCTATGATCTTCTTTGTCTGTCTCCTCCTGCCTACGCACCCCTAGAACCTCTTTTTATTTTTCTCATCCCTTGCCAAGTTCACCTCCATCTTTGCCTTGGCTTTCCTGATGCTATCTCTGCACATGTATACAATGTCCCTATATTTTTCACAGGCTACACAACGCCGCTTCCACTTCCTGTACATTTCCCTCTTTCCGCTTTTCCCTAATAAAGTTTAAGCTGCAGGTCCTTGCTCAGCCATACCACTTGCCCTCCTCCTCTGCTCCGTTTCTTCTTCTGCTGGGGGATGGAGAGCTCCTGCAATCTTGAAGAGCTGCTAGCTCTGTTCTGTTCCTCAGCCCTCAAGGACACTTTCCCACGAGATCCACCCAGCAATTCCTTGATCAGCCGGAATTTTGCTTTCCTGAAATTCAGGGTCCTGACTCTACTTTTTGCCAGGCATGCATTCCTCAAGATGACAAACTCTACTAGGGCATTATGACTGCAACCCAGGCTGCCTCCAATCTTAACCCTCTAATGTTCTCTGCATTGGTGAGCACCAGGTCCAGTAGAGCTTCTCCTCAGGGCTGTCCATCTAATACTTGAACTAGATAGTTATCCTATATCATCTATCCTCTCATTACGCCCACCTTCATGTGGTGATGGGCCGTATATTCCTATAATGGTTGTGAACATCTGCCTGCTGAAGGCAGAGGTGTAATAATTTCAGGCTTGATATCCTTTTAGGTATGCAATGTGCCATGCCACTTCTTTCTTGTAGTACGGAGAGAGAAAGAAAAGGAAAACAAGTACAGGGTCTCTCATGATGGAATCACAGATGTTTTTTGAAACTAGATGATCACTGTGGGCCTTTTCAACCCAGGCCGTTCTATGTTGCCTATAACAAAGATGATGACGAAGAAGAGGGTGAAGGAGTGGGATTGTCTGTTCTCAGTGAATGTCCATATTACCACTGCTCAGAGCTACTCCGTGGGAAAACTTAGTACATTCATCTGTTAAACAGATAGGTAAAAGTACTTTATAGAGAATTTAATTGAGATCTGTATTACTCAAAATTGAACCTACCTGTTATTAACTTCACATTTTTCATTTTCTGACATTCTGGCCCAGCTTACTGAATTTAAGCCCTATCTA